CGCAAGTCCTTGAGCTGACATATATCTCAAGCGAAGAAACGTATAACCTTCTCCGAGAAAACGTCGTTGAGCGTACATTTGACAAGGAACCCGTTATTCGTGCGCATGCAATCATCGCATTATCAAAATTGGCTGGGACAGAAGATCCTGACGAACTCGGGTCTGGGGAGAGTACGGCGGTGGAACTTGTCTTGGAAGCCATGTGTTATGATTCAGCTGTGTATGTCTCTGTTCTTATTCTGCCTGAGCGATACTGATACTTTATACAGTGAAGTCCGTCGCGCTGCTCTCCTCAATGCACCCATCACACCAGAAACCCTTCCTCTCATCCTAACCCGAGCAAAAGACACCGATACCATAACAAGAAAACTCATCTACTCTTCTGTCCTCTCGACAAAACTCGACCACCCTAGACGAATGACAATCGCACAACGAGAAGATGTCGTCAAAGCTGGTTTGGGCGATCGAGAACCAGCTGTTCGCGTAGCTGCAGGCAAAATGGTAACAGACTGGTTTGATTTGTCCATGAAGGAACTGGAACCACCTGCAGAAGGAGAAACGTGGGCAGGTGATGACGGAGGCGTTATGAGAGCGTTTGTCAAATTCCTGTGTCTGTTTGATGTGGTTGGGCCAGGAGAGGCTATCGCTGTCGATGCAGTGTTGGCGGTCTTCACTACTAGACCGAATCTAGCCAATGTTTTTGTGTTCTCAGGTGTGTGTCGAGAATATTTCCCCCGGCTTTCACTAATATTGGTATACACAGATGAATTTTGGGAAGAGCTTACTCCCGAATCTGCGGTCCTAGCTCGGACCTTTGTCGAGTATTGTCATAGTCAACAAAACGAGACGCGTCTCGAAGCAGCGGCTCTTCCTGCAGTGATGGGATTCGCATTTAGGATTCAAGAAGCTTATAATGATTTCTTGGCTTTCCTTCAGGAAACCGAGCTTTTAGGTGCGGGCGATGTCGACGAGGAAGAGAATGAGGAACGAGAGGAGGAGTTGGCGAAGAGAGAAGTCATCTTGGGAGAATTGTTGAGGATTGCGCTCAAGTTGGATTATATGGATGAACTTGGACGAAGGAAGATTTTCCAAGTTGTCAGTGAGTGCATTCAGATTACATCCGCCAGCGATCACGGGCTGATTGATGTTTGTGCAGAGGATATGCTAGCTCATCCTCAATTGCCTCCTGGCCTCATTGAACGTTGTCTTGACGTTCTATGCGAGATCCTTTCTTCGGAAAAGGAACTCATCCGGATTGTGGTAGAGATTATTGTCGAGCTTCGCGATGAGGATGGAGGTGAACCTTTTGACGATGAGGTGATTGAAGTGCTATCGGATTCTCACCCATGGCTGACCGATTCCGACTCTAGAACGACGGCAGTCGCTCCGATATCAGTTCTTTCCGCAAAGAGAGATCTTTGCGACGCGCCAAGCAAGTTGATGAAATGAGTGCAGAAGAACGCAAACAGGCCGACTTGACTGATCTGCGTTGCTTGACTTTGTGTATTGGGATGTTGGAACGGGTTAATGGGGTATGAAAGCGACTTGTTATCGATATGACGGTCTTCGAGTGACCTTTATATTCTGCAGACTTTTGAAGACAACTCGACTTTGGAAGGTGTTCTAACCGATCTCATCGTTCCTGCTGTCAAGAGAAAGGAGCTCGCTTTGCGCGAGAAGGGGTTGGTTAGTCTAGGACTGTGTTGTTTGATTGCAAAAGTGCGTGCATGCTAGCAGCTCAGTCGTGGTATTGGCTGACACCATCTTCTAGAACATGGCCCTAAACTCGTTCCAACTCTTCCTGAGTCAAGTCCAGAATTCACCAGAGGAACTTAAGCTCAAGATGTTGCAAGTGGTCTTTGATCTGCTTGTCATGTATGATCATGAGTTTCTAGGAAGGTCTGAGGAGACTGTACGCAGATTTCTTGAGCTCGTTTACATAGTTGCGACTGACGCGACAATTCCAGTCCCGCCAAATCATAACATTCATCCTTCAAACATTAGAGTCGGAGGAATCCGACCTTGTACAGACTGTGATATGTGTTGGGGTCTGCAAGTTGCTTTTATCTGGGCAGGTTACGGATACGAGGGTGAGTCTTCTTGTACTGCTATACATCAAAGAATGGATTCAGGTCGAATGGATTCATATTAGGTCCTCGTCAGCCTCTTGATCACCTACATCTCTCCAACAACGTTTGAAAACCAAGAGCTCCGACAATGTTTGGCGTACTTTTTCCCAGTTTATTGTTATTCGTCACCGGATAATCAAAAGAGGATGCGGTCTGTTAGTAGTTTTTTTTCCCTCTTCAAGCCGGAAATCCACCCAACTAACTGACCGCCGCTGTTTCTTTTTCTTGTATAGATATTCGTCAAAGTCTTTGACCTAGCCATCAAAGTCCACGAACAACTCGACGAGGATCAAGAGATGATTTCACTTTCGCAGTTTGGACTTTTGCTTGTTGATTGGATGGATCCGACCAAGTTGGTCAAGCTGTACGTTTTCGTTCTTTCTCCGTACTGCATCGATGTAGAAAACTGATGACACGGGTACGGTATGGAAAGGCCAAACGTCGATTATTCCAACAAGGGAAGCATAAACGTGCATGATGAACTGGCAGTGGAGATTTTGCTTGCGTTGTATGATTCCGAGAGGGAGGGTGAGTGTTTTTCCTTTTATGCTGTTGTTTTGAGAAGAAGTATTGTTGATGGTGACTTGAACAAAGATGAAATTCGCAAAGAGCTTTCTCAGCTCCTTACACATCTCCAGCTATCACAGGAAGATATGGACCGTCGGACGATGATGAAGCTTTCGATTTTATCGGAGCATCTTCAGACGGTGAGTACCTCTTCGAGACAATAGAACTTGGGGTTTAACCTCGGCATTGAACGTAGCAATACCCATTGGACAATCCAATTTCGGATAAAGCGTTTGGCAAGTTTAAGGAACGGTTTGATAAATCGTATGTGAAAAAGGTGGAAGAGATTAGTCCGAGGGAGGTTGTGAGGGATAAAGAGTATAGAGAGTTGTATGAGTTTATTGGGTTGGAGGTGCCTGAGGTTGAGGAAGAGGAGCCTGAGCCTGAGCCCGAGCCCGAGGAAGTCGAGGAAGAGGAAGAAATCCAAGTTGAAGAGCCCGAGAAGGAGCCAGAGGTGGAAGAAGAAGAGGGTAGAGATGTGGAAGTAGAAGAGGATGCAGAAGAGAGTAGTACACCACCGCCTGTTACGCCTGTCCTGCAAGCAAGGTACGTGCTATGTCGAAAAACCTGGCAGGCTGATGACGTCATCGTTTTTTTTTTTTCCTTTTTGCAGGGATTTGCCTGAAGACTCTCCAGCTGTGAGGTAAGAAAGAATTGGTTTGTATCATTGCGTGTAGTGCTAAATCTATTCGTTCAAGTCCTCGTGCTCGAATAAAGAATATCTCCGTTGAGCCTGAAGAGGCAAAAGGGTATGTTATATCGTCCCAGTTGATTGTTTCTGAATTAACTTCTTTCCATACTTAGACCTGATGAAGAAGACTCGGATGCTGTACGAGCTAGTCCTCCTGTTATGGTTAGCCCCATGAAAAAAGCGACCAAGTAGGATCATTTCATTTCATATAATTTAGTGTGCAGCCTGACCTTGGCTCCATAGACGTGTTGCGCCTTCAACTCCGACAAAACATGCGCCAGCATCTCCAGTTCGGAAGAAACGTGGGGCTGGTGCAAGGAGGTGGGTTGTACTGCGATTCTCGTAAGGAAAAGGCTAAATGAAAAATTTTAGTACTGAGGCCGCGAAAGCTAAAGCCGCCCCGAAACCAAAGGCCAAAGCTGTCGAGCGAAAATCTAGTGGGACTAGGAAAAGTACACGATCTCGAAAATCAATAGAGGAACAAGAGGAACTTGAAGAGGACGAAGAAGAGTCGCATGAACCTGAAGAACCGGTAGAGGAGATCAAGCCTACCAGGTCGAGGTCGAGAGCCGCAGCAGCGACCAAGTCTAAACCGAAACTGAAACCAAGGCCCAAGGCAACGAGGGCAAAGACAAGGACGAGGGCAGCTGCGCAGGCAAAGGACGGTTCTGATTCTGAATCCATTGGGTATTCTAGTGTATGATCTACAAGGCGGTATTTTTCGTTGCTCTTTATCGTTAATTTATTAAAGTAATGCTGTCCTCGTTGTCTTGTTTGTAACTCGAGTCGTCATGTTGTTTTGCTATCTCGATATAGATGCCATGTACTTGTGATACGCAGTGTGCTGTGTTGCAGACCTGCGCATGCCGACTCTTCACGAAAAGCTTGCGAAGTGGTATGGACTTTTCTCTGCTTTGCACTCCGTCCAAAAAAAAAACTCCACAGCAACTCATGATCAGCCCGTCCGGGATTCGAACCCGGCATCTCTCGCAGCACGAAAGATCCCCTTTTCAGAGGTACTTTCATCTGGTAAGTGTCTTCCAACAGGCTATGAGTGTATGTGATGTAGGTTATTAACATGGATACCCAGTGATCCCGGATTGAACCACCGATGTTGAGAAAAATGTGATTGCACAAGTGTGTAGATGCGCACATTTGTATGAGGTGAATCGAATCGATATGCCCGCTCTTCATAAAAAAAGTGGATACATGTATCTAGGACCGCAGAGCATTACGAGGCGCCTCAAAAGAGTGCTAGGACTGCTGCGAGAGCCAAAGAAAGCCAGGATCAAAGCTGTCGAAAAAATCTAGCGGGAAGTACGCAATCCGAAGAATTGGTGGAAGAGGCTGCGAGGTCTAGCCACAGCACCAAATCTAAACCGAAACCAGAGCCCTAGACAACAAAGGCAATGAGTTCAGAGGTGGTATTTTTCTTTATCATTAATTTATTAAAGTGACCTCATTTTGCTATCTTGGTATTTGTGAGGTAGATCGAATCGATACGCAGTGTGCTGCGTTCTGCGCATGGCCACTCTTCACAAAAAGCTTGCGGAGTGGTATGGACTTTTCCCTGCTTTGCACTCCGTACAAAACGACATGAAACGCTTTATGATCAGCCCGTCCGGGGTTCGAACCCGGCATCTCTCGCAGCGCCAGAGCCCCCTCATGAAGAGGGGGCTCTGTTCTGGTAAGCGTCTTACCGCTCGACCAACAGGCTATTATGTATGTTGTAGTAGAAATTGTACCAATGTCGTGATGGCATTCTCGATCGATAGACCTTTCAAGGATTCAATGACGGACGCAGGATGAATCCGTTCTTGCTTTCTGTTTCCGTCAGATATTTTGGACCTCTACCGAATCTGCTTGTCTCCGGACCGTGAAAGAAAAGATGTGACTTCATCCTAAATACTTTCAAGTTCATGACTCTGCACAGGTACCAAGTATGTAGATGCGCGTATTTGTATGCGGTGGACCGAATCGATATGCATAAAAAGTGGATACATGTATCTGGAGCTTCAAAAAAGAGTGCTAGGACTGCTGCGAGAGCCAAAAAAAGTCAAGATCGAGGCTGTCGAAAAAATCTAGCGGGAAGTACGCAATCCGAAGAATTGGTGGAAGAGGCTGCGAGGTCTAGCCGCAAGCACCAAGTCTAAACCGAAACCAGAGCCCTAGACAACAAAGGCAATGAGTTCAGAGGTGGTATTTTTCTTTATCATTAATTTATTAAAGTGACCTCATTTTGCTATCTTGGTATTTGTGAGGTAGATCGAATCGATACGCAGTGTGCTGCGTTCTGCGCATGGCCACTCTTCACAAAAAGCCTGCATGAATTAGATACATTCTACTATTTCTTTCACTGTAACAGCGATGGTTTTCTGGTCGACCGATGGCTACTACTCTGGTTCAGGGCGGGTAGGGTTAGGTAAGCAACTTTTCCTAAACTCTTACGCGCGCCCTGCGAGTCCTCTGTCGTCGACGTTGACCAGCATGTCGCAATGGGGCCAGCAGCCAGGCTTCCAGTACCCCATGCAGACGGGTTTTCCTGGTCAAAACCCCCAGTTTCAACAACAAAATCCCCAATTCCAGCAGCAAAATCCCCAGTTTCAACAAGGTTTTAATCCTGCTGCTGGCGGTCTGGTCCCCCAGCGCACTGGCTTTCCCGGCCAGCCTCAAGGCATGCTTCAGCCTCAGCAGACTGGTTTCCCTGGCTCGGGTTTCTTGCAGGCTCAGCCCACAGGGTTCCCGGGGATGCAGCCGCAGCAACAGATGCAACATCGACCCGCCCCAGCTCCGCCCGTACCTCCCATTCCCAGCCAGTTCCAGCAACAGAACCAAGGCTCTAATATGCTTTCTCCGCCCAACCAGGCCAACCGGTTTCTCAGCCCCTCTCCTTCAATGGGCCAGTCGCCCATGCAGGCCCGTCCTTTGGTTCCTCAAGTGACTGGTTACGTCGATCCCAGATTGCAGATGATGTCGAGCACGTTTATGCCCATTAATACTTCCATGCCTTACAATGCTGGTGGTGCTCCTCAGTTGCCGTCTCAGACTCTGCAAGGAGGTCTCAATCTTCAACAGTCATTCCAGCAGCATAATCAGGCTGCCGCACCGCCCCGAGTTCCCTGGGCTCTTTCGAAAGCCGAGAAGAAGAGTTATGACAGCATTTTCAGGGCTTGGGATACTCATAACACGGGTTTCATCAGTGGTCAGACCGCTCTCGAAGTGTTTGGTCAGAGTGGTCTCAGTAAGGATGACTTGGCTCGCATCTGGTACGCATCAATTCTTTGTATGATATTCTCTTGCCAATAGTTTCTCCAGGACTCTAGCAGACGTTGATGATCGCGGCAAGCTTAATATCGCCGAGTTCCACGTCGCCATGGGTCTCATCTACCGAAGTATGTAAACCAACTCGTGTTTTAAACAACGGATGCTAACTGACTCAATAGGACTCAATGGCAATGATATTCCCGACAAGCTTCCTCCCGAACTCATCCCTCCGTCTGCTCGTGACCTTGGCGAGGAAGTTGACCGCTTCAAAGAAATGCTCAAAAACGAGACGCGTCCGGGTTCATCTCAGCCAGATGGTCGTGTATCTTATGCGAAAAATCGTTCATTCCATTCTTCTTCCCCGCATGATCCAACCAGAGACGCTACCATCTACAAGCATGATGATAGCGGATCGTCGGATAGTGTGTACAAGCCTCGGTCTCGACACGTTGACCGGAGTATGGTCCGTAGCAAGTATGAACAAGGGACTGCGGGCGATTTGGCCGAGGTCAAGAATATCCTTGATAATACGTCTCATATGCTTGATAAAGCTGCTGAAGACGAGGCGTCCAGGACGGCAGAGGATGAAGCTCTCGATCGAGAGATGGAAGACCTCAGATATAAAGTTAGGAGATTGCAAGAAGACTTGGATTATGCCTCGAGAGGTCCAAGGTCTGCTGCCAAGGATGATGAACGAAGGAAATTGGAGAGAGAGTTGCTCAACATCAAGCATGAAAAGGTTCCCGAGCTTGAGAGGAAGATGAAAGCTAGAGACGAGAGAAGAGAACGAGAAAAGAGGCAATGGGTCAGAGACCGGGACCGTGCCAATGAAAGGTTTGGACGCTACAGTGATAGGGATCGGGATAGGGATGATTACTATTCTGGCCGGTATGATGATCGTGACAGGGACAGGCCCTACTCTCGAGGCCCTTATGATGATAGAGATAGAGATAGGGATAGGGACTGGGAGCGAGAACGCGAAAGAGAACGAGACAGAGAAAGAGACAGAGACCGTGACTATGACCGCGACTATAGACGTAGGTCCAGGTCTCGGGACGGAGGCTACGACACAGATTATGACCGTCCACGCTCTCCTCCCCGTACTCGTACGCCTCCAGCAGCTCCTCCACCTCCCGCTGTATCTCCGAGTGCCAGTCGAGATCCTCCTCCCAAACCTACTCCGTCTCCTGCTCCCAATCTCAAGAACATGACTGCTGCAGAACGTCAGGCATATGCACGTGCAGAGGCTCAACGTCGTATCGAAGAACGTAAAGCTCGTCTGGGTCTCGTTGCTACCCCATCTCCGGCCGCGGCTGATACTTCTGTCGAAGATAGACTTCAACAAGAGAAGAAGGCTGCTGAAGAGAAAGCTCTAGCCGCAGAAAAGGAAGCAGAAGAAAGGGAAAAGATGAGAAGAGAACGTTTGGAACGCGAAAAGGCTTTCAAAGAAGGTCGTGACGGACCCAGTTCTTCGCCAACTGTAGAGACGCCTGCAACGACTGCGCCACCTGCGCCGACTCCTCGAGCTCCTCCGGCACCTACTCCCAAGGCTGCTCCGCCTCCTCCTGCACCTAAGAAAGCGCCTCCTCCTCCTAAGCCTAGGAGTATCCCCAAACCACCTCCGGTGCAACCTCCTGCTCCAGTCGTTCCCGAAGTAGACCCAGAAGAAGAAGCATTCCGTGCTCGTGAAGAGGCTCTTCGCAAACAGCGCGAAGAACGTGCTGCTCGTTTGAGAGAACTGGAGAGACAAGAAGAGGAAGCTAGGCTTGAAGATGAGCGTATGAATGCGAGAATGGCTGCTATGAGGAAGCCTAGTGTTTCGCCTGCACCTTCTCCTGTCGCGCCTCAAGTTGTCAGCTCGCCACCTATAGCTCCCCCTGTTGCGCCTCGAGTTGTTACTTCGCCGCCTGTAGCTCCTCCTGCCCCTACACCTCGAGTTGCTCCTCAGGCTCCGGTATCTGCACCGACGCTTAGTCCACCAATTGAGAAATCCAATACGAATCCTTTCAGTCGGTTGATTAACCAGAGTGGTGGTGGTGGTTCTGCTGCTCCCACTCCGTCTGCACCTCCTGCTGCGAGTACGAATCCATGGACAAATGCAACTGCAGCTCCACCTGCTCCCGTCGCCCCGACTCCACCTGCTCCAGCCAGGTCTCCAGTGACAATCCCAACACCAACTAGAAGTCCAGGTCCAAAAGCCTACAACACCGCTCCAGCTGCAGACCCAGACGATTGGGATGTTATTGAGAAGAATGATGACAGCGACGACAGCGACGATGAGATTCAAGGCTCTCGTTCTGTCCGAAATGAGATTGCCAACAAGTTGTTTGGGAACCTCCTTCCTAGACCTCAATCTACAGGTTCTGGACCTAGCTCTCCTGCATCTCCGGCTCCTCCTCCACCTCCGCCACCTGGAGTTTCTGGAGCCCCGATGCCTCCACCGCCTCCTCCAGCACCTGCTGCCCCAGCACCTCCCGCTTTTGGTGGAGCAGCACCTTCGGCTCCGGCTGCAACAGGCGACCGTAGTGCCTTGTTGAGCTCTATCCAGTTGGGAGCAAGACTTCGACCAACCAAGACAGTGGATAAAAGTGGACCTCAAACATCTGGAAAAGTGTTGGGTGACACTGCACCTCCTGCTCACATCAACACTGCTGCACCCGTTCCTATAGCTCGTGAGCCTTCTCCACCTCCACCAGCGCCTCCCGCTCCAGTAGCGCTCCCAGAGACTATTCCCATGGCTATGGATTCTCAAGCGTCTTCTTCAACAAGTAGTAATAATCGTATGTCTGTTGATTGGTACGCAGGACTGGCAGCTGATAGTGGTTCACCAGCGACTTTGGATAGACTTCCTTCGACGAGAGAGGAAGAATATGAGAGTAGTGATGATGATGATGAGGGACCTGAGAGTCTTGCTGGTGGTGCAGGTGGGTTGCCTGGTATTCATGTTGAGGCGGTTGGGAATGGAAATGGGATTGGGGCTGGAGGAGAGTCGGATTTGATGGCTGATATTGACAAGTCCAAGTGTGAGTTGTCTGCTGTGAGTTGTGAATTTGGGCGTTTTTGACATGCTTTTTCTTGTTGCAGCGTTGAGAGTGCGGTCTTTGTATGCGTTCGAGGGTGATGGTCCCGATGATTTGAGTGAGTGGAGCTTGTACTGAATTTTGAAGCGTCTTGCTAATACCTCGTAGGCTTTGCCGAAAACTTGATGCTCATTGCCAACCCGTCAAAGACTGGAGGAGATTGGTGGTATGGCAAGTTGGAGACGTCTGGCAAGTCTGGGTTGTTCCCCAAGACCTACGTCGAAGAAGTTACTCCAGGTCGGTCTACCCCGGGTTTTTGATTCCGTAAATTAATATCTTTCACAGTCAAAGCCAAAGCTATCTTCACGTACAACGGAGAGAACCCAGATGAATTATCAGTCGCTGAAGGAGATATTATCACAATAGTAGACCA